CGTTATTATATGACCGAAAAAATTGGATTGACAGATGACCGTTGATAAATGATTGACTGAATTTAGGTGTTCAGGCTGACGTATAACTAACTGGCCTGCAGAAGATAAGGGCAAAAAACACAGATTTTAGGACAATAAAATTTAAGTTTTCTCAATTTTAAGACAATATCGTCTGATAAAGAGTACACATGATGTGATATTTAAATCTGATTTCCCTACGACTTAAATGTTATCATAATTTTAAGAGGCTGTTATAGACTCCTCTACACAAGAAAAGTCTGTGTATAAATAGATGAAGGCATTCATCTTTATCACAACAGGCAACTTTAATTAGTATAAGAGATAAAAGGAAGTTAGAAATACTGTAAATCATGTTGCTGGTGAAGGAGGTTCCAGGGCATCCAGGTCATAGTCATTGCAAAAAAAGAAAATTACAAACAACTTTGGAACTGAAAAAGCTTCCTGGATGGGAAGTGAAATGCCTTCAAACTTGGAAACTAAGTCCAGTGGATAAATTTGAATTTTCTTTTCTTTTTTTTGGAGTAAATCATGTTAACAGGACAAACTACATCCTGAAAACAAATATCCAACAGTACGGCTTCAAACTGAGAAAGAGATTCCTAAAATAACTGAACTTTATTATAGAAATAGACTGAGTAGATCTATATCATGGATCAGGCAGAGAACATTCTAAAAACAAAACAAAACAAACTAAAAACAGGATCCTAAACATATATAGTTCTGCAGGATTTTCTATGGAAAAAAAAAAGTCATAAAACCTTTACGTTTGGTGATCTTTGCCTACATTTTTTTTTTGTTTTTGCATCCTAAAGGGCTGCTTATCCTCCTGCAGCAGTGTGTCGCAGTGAGATTGTCGCAGATATTTTTTGATCTATGTCCAATATTGAAGCGTGGTCTTCGCTATGTTATTCCACGCCACAACGCAAGAGGGCCAATCAGGAACTAGCGGGTCTAGATACGACCGAGGCGGTGAGGAAATGGGGGGAATATCTGTGTTCACTGCAACACAGAGACGACCTGGTTTCTGAGTATAAACCAGCCTTAGGAGGGGAATGGTATCCTAGTGGTTAGAGGACTGAGCTTGGAAACCTGAGTTTAAGCCCCACTCCCACAGTCTGCCACAGTGGCGCCCACTGCTCCCCAAGGTGGATGGGTTAAATGCACTGAGTGAATATCGTTGCTCTGTATTTGTGACAGTGTAATGACAATAAAACACAAGGGGAAAAAAAAAAGCAACCAGGGCAGGCTGTAGATATGACCTCCCTGAATGATTAAAGTAAAATAAATGGAAACAACAGGTTATTTGAATTTATAGCTTTTCATTGGTCTTTCCGTTTTGAAGGTTTTATTGCTAAAGTTAAGATGTGACCATCAGTTACCCTTCAGACCAGCGTTCATTAATGTTTCAACGAGAAGTGATTCATTTCAGAGGGAAACATTTTCCATCACAGGTTATTCATTTCAGCTGAAACCTTTCAGCAGGTTTGGGTGAAAACAGAACAGGATTAACAGACTTTCCCTTCCGGAGGAAAATAATGGAATTTACTTTCTAGATTTTTACCATTATTACGAGACAAACGATTATTTTTATGATGAAAGTTTTTTTTACTACTAATTCATGATTTTTGGCCCTTTGAAATTTAAGAAAAGGCAAAAAAATATTTTGAAATTTGAGTATTAATATTAGCCAAAACATTGATAGCACTTCTTTGGAGAGACGGACAGTGGCCTGATAGAGGAATCAGAGGAATCAAAACACATCAATCATTAACAATAAAAAAAAAAAAAAAAGCTAGAAATTTGGGGAGCCATTAAAGGTATAGAGGACGATCTTTTATTTGTTGGTGGATCATTTAAATAAAACCCACTACAGTAACAGCCATTCAAAATGGCCCTTCCAGCCAACTTCCCGCCGATGGCCTTCCTCAGGGCGTGCATATTTTTTATTCTGACTCCAACCTTTCACTGAATTACAGGGTCTGACCAAGAGATGAAGCTTCTCTTTAGATTTTAATGTCCACAAATCATGACAGAAAGAATATTTTACCACAAAGATTGATGTTTAAAGAAGAAATTGTAGAGAACCAGCCAAGGATCCATCGAGGAAAGTGGGGAAAATTTGTAAGGCTACAACTGTATATAGTCCCTGCTCTATATAGTGAAGAGAAACTTTTAATAGAGCGTGCACGAGGAGAAACGGGCTCGTGCACGCACTCCCATTTTTTTTTTAATTGGAGAGGGCGGGTCTTTAAAAAAATTCTAGAAGAATCTCAACAATACCTTCAATTAAACAGTCAGCAAGAAAGGATTAAACAAACATGAAAGGATATACTGAATTATCTTTTACATTTTCCATAATTATGTTATTTGTATTTAACATATTTTAATTGTGTGTAACTGATTTATTTAAATGAAATGTATATATGGTTGGAAAAAATGTTTTAACAAGGTAAAACTAGGATTCTGTTGGTGTTTATGGCACCCTCTGGTGTTGGAGTAAAGCTACTGCAGATTGTTTACATGTGAAGCTGGAGGCTCATGGCACTAAAATATTGAATCCAGTTGGTCACAGATAAAAGCTAAAGATGGCTCACATCTTTTCTTAAAACGAGGTAATGGCCCAACCCTGATGTGGACAGATGTTGACAGCGCTTACGCTCCGCTCTCACCTCTCCTCCTCATAAATGGGCACCCGGGTGTATCCGCTCTGCATGATCTCCGACATGGTGGAGAAGTCGAGGACGGCCGAGCTGGGCAGCATGAAGCAGTCCTTCAGAGGAGTCAGGATGTCCTCCACCGTCTTGGTACGCAGCATCCCGCGGCTGAACTCCTCCTTCACAAACTCACTGCCAGGAAAACACACATTTACAGCAAACATTTGGTTTCTCTCAAAGAAGTTCTAGATCTTTCCAAGATCAAGTCTGAACCTTCCAGTGATTTAATTAAATTCAAATGTTTCACTATTTTCAAAGACAAATAGAATTTTGTGTTCTCTCTGTGTCACTGAAATGTACTTTTCTTTTTTTGCTCTCATATAAAACACCTTTTCCATTGTGGTGCCACTAATTTGTGATATATAATGTAACCAAATTTAGGTTTGTAAAGGGCAGGAGGCAGTATTATGTTAATATGATTAAAAACAATTACCACATTACAACTATAAAGCACACCTCACTATGAGCCAAACCCACAATTTTAGTTTTATTAAACTGGAAACATACATATATTTTCAGAATAAAGTCGTAACATTAGGAGAATACAGCTGTATTATTACGACAATGAAGTCATCATACCACAACCTGTTTCAGAAAGAAAGCTTCGAGCTCCGACCCGCATATGGCGGCCGACCAGCTCCACCAATCAGCAACCTGAGTCCTTTGACCTGCTGCCCAGTTTGATGCTGCTGCTAAAAGTCCATAGAAGTATAACTTCACATAATGCTCCACATTCCTCATTTTAGGGAAGAAAGTGCTTCTTGTAGGAGCTGTCATAAAATACATATTGTTTCTCGTAATTTACCAACTATTCACTTAATATTACGACTTTATTCTTGTAATTTTATTCTCATAATGTTACGACTTTATTCTTGTAATTTTATGACTATTCTTGTTACGACTTTATTCTCGCAATGTTACGACTTTATTCTTGTAATGTTACGGCTTTATTCTCTAATGTTCAGAGTTCGTTTTCGTAATGTTCCGACTTTATTTTCGTAATGTTCCGACTTTATTTTCGTAATGTTACGGCTTTATTCTCGTAATGTTACGGCTTCATTCTCTAATGTTCCGACTTCATTTTCGTAATGTTCCGACTTTATTCTCGTAATGTTACGGCTTTATTCTCGTAATGTTACGGCTTCATTCTCGTAATGTTACGGCTTCATTCTCGTAATGTTACGGCTATATTCTCTAATGTTACGGCTTTATTCCCTAATGTTCCGACTTCATTTTCGTAATGTTCTGACTTCATTTTCGTAATGTTACAACTTCATTCTCATAATTTTATTGCTTTATTCTCATAATGTTTTGACTTTATTCTCATAATGTTATGACTTTATTCTCTTAATTTTATAACTATTCCCGTTGCGGCTTTATTCTCATAATGTTACGACTTTATTCTCGTAATGTTATGACTTTATTCTCTTAATTTTATGACTATTCCCGTTGCGACTTTATTCTCGTACTGTTACGACTTTATTCTCGTACTGTTACAACCTCATTCTCGTAATATTACGACCTTATTCTCGTAAGGTTACAAGTTATAATAAAAGAAAAAAAATCTCTAGCCTGGCCCTTATACTCCACCATAACTAACCACACTGAGCTACAAGCTGCTGATATCTACTGAACTGTCCTCCACCAAACCTGCAGGGGGAGCTCTAGATATCACCCCTGGAGTAAGGACGAAGAAGAATGCTAGCTGCCGTTAGCTTGTTGACTCGCAGCAGTAAGAGCTTCTAATGAAAGACGGGGCTTTTTCAGCTCTTTATTTCAGTTCTGCAGGAGTTGAGCCCAGGCTCTTCATTAGTTCAGCAGCTTTAATGCGGAAAATAAATGTCAAAATGTGTAAATTTGGGACATTTGTTCTCTACAATGAGGAGATATTTGATTCCAAGAATGATAAATCTGGAGTTTCTCGGGGAAAAAAGCTGGAGTTCACTAAAGCTGGAGCTGAAGCTTATACATGTATACATGTATTTTATTAATACCACTGAAAGGAAAAAACGTTACAACTTACCCAAACAAAAATGAGCATTACAACAACAGCGACTGAATAAAAATATCCCACCCAAAAGAAATTTATATACTGCTGAATTCAAGCTGAAAGTGATTGAATATGCAGTGGAAAATGGCAATAGGGCAGCTGAACAACAGTTTGGATGCGGTGAAAAACTGGTTTGGGATCAGAGAAAAGCAGAGTAATGATAGTATTAATGATAGCAGTGGTGATATTTAAAACAACCAGGGCGGGCAACAGGGTAACTGGCGCGTTATCACTGCTTCTCACACGCTCGTTCATGAAATGAAACAATGCGGTCTTCCAGCAGTAGCCTACCACGCTCCAGTTATCAGAACACGGATTCCATG